TCATGTATTATTTGGGGATCTTCTGTTTGCTGACGAGTGTTCTCTTAATGCCAGTTCAGAAGCAGATCTGCAGTATAACATGGACAGATTCTCAGAGACCTCTACTGATTTTGGGCTTACCATTAACACTGAGAAAACTGAAATGATGTATCAACCAGGTAAAGTGTACACTGAATAGCAAGACATTAAAGGTTGTGGATATTCATACCCCAGTAGTACACTGTCTCAGAATGTTAACGTCGACGGTGAGGTGAGCACCAGGATCTCTAAATCTAGCTGCACGTTTGACAGGTTATACACAAATGTCTGGCATCCTATTGGCATCAGTCTGCAAACCACACTGAAGGTATACAGAGCAGCAGTGCTTCCAGAGCTACTGTATGCCTGTGAAACGTGGACTGTATACAGGTGTCAGGCAAAAAAACTCAAACACTTCCTTTTAGTCTGCCTGAGAAAGATACTGAACATGAAGTGGCAAAACATGGTCCTGGACACAGTTGTGCTGGAGAGGGCTGGCATTCCCAGCATCAATACCATCCTGGTGCAGCCACAGATTCCATGGGCTGGCATTCCCAGCATCAATACCATCCTGGTGCAGCCACAGATTCCATGGGCTGGCATTCCCAGCATCAATACCATCCTGGTGCAGCCACAGATTCCATGGGCTGGCATTCCCAGCATCAATACCATCCTGGTGCAGCCACAGATTCCATGGGCTGGCATTCCCAGCATCAATACCATCCTGGTGCAGTCACAGATTCCATGGGCTGGCATTCCCAGCATCAATACCATCCTGATGCAGCCACAGATTCCATGGGCTGGTCATATTGTTCCTGACCACCGGCTCCCAAAAATAATCTTCTATGTGAGAAACCTGAAGGTTGACATTCTCATGGGGGTCAGACAACGCACCTCAAGGACACACTAAAGTTATCATTAAAAGCCATCAGTTTAAACCCTGACACCTGGTATGCTGCAGCACAAGATAGTACTTTATGGTGCACAAATATCTGAGATGGTACAAGGATCTGCAATGCATTTAAGACAAGTGAAGCTGAACAGCCAAGACAGGCCAGAAAGAACCGTCAAATAGGCCTTTTATCTACAGACTGTGACCTGCCCTCAATGTCCTAGACTTTTCCAGGCACGCATTGGACTTATAAGTCACCTCCGGACTCATAAACATTCAACTGCAGTTTCAAGATGGATGACTGAATGAACCATGATCAAGTATGTGTGATGGCCTAATGTTTCACATCCCTACAACAGTATCTACAACAGATTATTTTAACCATTTTTCTGTTTATTCATACTGAGTGAAAATGTGAAAATCAGTCCTATCTAGAATTTCCAAAACAATGTACATTGGTTAGAGCTTGGCTGCCGATTGTCAGATGTACTGTGACGCCTAGTGGCATAAGCAAATACAAGAAAAAGAAGATGTACATTCAATTTACATCTAAATCTTACTTGGATGTTTCGGGTAAACCAGCTGAAAGCTCCAGAAAAACAGAGAGGTAGTTGCCACGGACAACACCATTACCATCCTGTGTTCAGATAATTTTATTCTAGTAAGTTCTCTGCACTTTAAAACATTTAAAAAAAAACACACAAGCAAGTCATTTAGCATCAGCAAAAAATATTTATCTGAAACACCCTAATCTAAGAACTTTCAAGAAAAAAAATTAAAACACCTTTGAGAAAGTTTTAGTATAAAACAACAGTCCCTATCAGTAAAAGAGAGAGGTTTCAAGGAAAAAAGAAAATTATTTAAAACAATAAATTCACAGCCAAACAATTCAAAATTTTTCTGGTATCTTTATTTTAAAAAAAAAACGTAAAAAGTTCAAACTAAGAGCAATAAATTTAATACAAATTTGTTGAATAAACAATGGGTTGTTTGGAAGCCAAGCAAGGATTGTGTTTTAAAGTTAGTTTAAAAAAATGCAAGTACCCAGTGAAATATAAAATATTAAGCAGGTAATCTGATGCCCAGAGTTAGCAATAATACAAGAACCTCTCTTCTTTTTTTTTTTCTACTACTACTGCTGCTACTACTACTACTGCTGCTACTACTACTACTGCTGCTACTACTACTACTGCTGCTACTCCTGCTGCTACTACTACTGCTGCTACTACTACTACTACTGCTGCTGCTGCTGCTACTACTGCTGCTACTACTACTACTACTGATACTACTACTACTGCTGCTACTACTACTGCTGCTACTACTACTACTGCTGCTACTACTACTACTGCTGCTGCTGCTACGACTACTGCTACTACTACTACTGCTGCTACTACTACTACTGCTGTTACTACTACTACTGCTGCTGCTGCTACTACTACTGCTGCTACTACTACTACTGCTGCTACTACTACTACTGCTGCTGCTGCTACTACTGCTGCTACTACTACTACTACTGCTGCTACTACTAGACAGCCTTAACTCCAATAAAAAAAAATTAATTCAGAACCAACTGAAACAGCAGAAGAAATTATCAACCATGCTCCAGATCTGTTCAGTTTACAAGCGGAGGCTGAAGGAGGGTTAGATATGATGCTACTTAAAGGGTAAACTTCAAGTCTCCAACTTAAAACAACAAACAAACAGTGGAGGCTGAAGAAGGAGGGCTAGACATCATGTTACTTACCGGGTAAACTTTGAGTCTCCAGCTTAAACCAGTGACAAATAATGGGAGCAAAAGAAGGAGGGCTAGACATCATGTTACTTACCGGGTAAACTTTGAGTCTCCAGCTTAAACCAGTGAGAAACAGGGAAAGCTGAAGAAGGAGGGTTAGACATCATGTTACTTACCGGGTAAACTTTGAGTCTCCAGCTTAAACCAGTGAAAAACAGGGAAAGCTGAAGAAGGAGGGTTAGACATCATGTTACTTACCGGGTAAACTTTGAGTCTCCAGCTTAAACCATTGACAAACAGTGGAGGGCTGTAAACTGGATCAGCTCTCTGTCGCAACACACTAAAACTCTTCATCATGAAGGTACTGGTGTCATACTGCGGAACAATTTCACTACAAGACAAAAATACAACTTATGTCAAAAATGTGATTAAACCGCCCCTGAATATTTATCATAGTATTCAAGAATGTTCGCAGGAAAACTTAAGATCACTGTTTGGAGGCATGAGACTTCACAAAGGACATTTGTACTGACTCCAACCAAAAAAACTGATGTGTTCAACAATTCAAACATATGATACATGCACTACTATCAGAATGATATTGTGGACTGTTGTCTTCATCTGTAGTAAGTACACCAGAGTCTCTTTGACCTCTTCTTCTTTGCTTCTTGACCAGGTTATAGCAATTATTTATTTCACTACCCACTTGCAACCCAGGGTATTTCTTGTTATACGTTTCAGTACTGTCTTGGGTGTATGTCTTATTTACTTTTGTATTAGCTGAATGTTATTTTTAAACAGTTCTAAGCACTATCACATACAGTTTCATAAATTTTGAAGAATGTGATGCAGTCAAACATCAATGGTAATCAGCACTATTACATGATATCCCCTGGGATGTGCCATGTTCTTAACCATATAACAGTGTCATTTGTTTTTAAATCATATATCTTGTCAAAAAGCAAGAACAAGCATTGACGTCTCTTGACCAATTGTGAGTGCTCTGATTCCATTTTGTTGACATTCTTGAGGCAACTGCCACAGACAACACAGCATCTTCCTCTCAGTTTGTTCTTCTTCTACCACTGGTTTGTCCAGTTCTCATGTTGAAGTTTCATGCACCTTTTCTCATCATGTTGAAGTTTCATGCACCTTTTCTCATCATGTTGAAGTTTTATGCACCTTTTCTTATCACGTTGAAGTTTCATGCACCTTTTCTCATCATGTTGAAGTTTTATGCACCTTTTCTCATCACATTAAAGTTTCATGCACCTTTTCTCATCATGTTGAAGTTTATGCACCTTTTCTCATCACATTTAAGTTTCATGCACCTTTTCTTATCATGAAGTTTTATGCACCTTTTCTTATCATGTTGAAGTTTCTTGCACCTTTTCTCATCACATTACCAAAGCAAACCGTTTTCTCTGATAGTTTTTGAGAAATAATGTCCCACTTCCATTGGCCTTCTCTACACAGACACTCTTAGTTTCTCTGTTTAAAATACTTATAATAATAAACTGAGCAAGAAAAAAGTCACATGAAGTTTGTCGCTGGATGTCTTTTCCTGTGGCAAAATTATAGAAAGAAAGATTAAAAACAGACCATAAATTTGAGTCAGGGATTGTAATAAAGATAATCTGCATGATACTGATAACACACACAGTATTGAAAGCTGAAGATCCAAATGATCTATGATGGTGGCATGGAAGTAAATCTTCTTCTTCAGCATTACGAGCTCTCGAGGTTCATTGCTGCAAATCCCCCCCCCATTTATCTCTCTGGTTGGCCTTCTCTTTCGAGTTGGTGACACTAAGTGTTTGCAGGTCTGTCTGGACATTCTCTCACCATCGTCTTCTTGGTCTGCTTTGTGGTCTACGACCTTTCATTTCCCTTTTGTATACAGTTTTCCCCTCTCTGTCATCTGACATTCTTTCAATATGCCCCAACCATTTCAGTCTTATAGCTCAGATAATGCCAGTTATCAATAGGGATTTAAACAGATTATGAATTTAGTTGTTGCTTCTCACTCTCCATTCCCTGCTGTTTGCATCTTTGATGGGTCCAAAGATTTGCCATGACTCTTGAAAATCTGTAATAAGGCTTCATCTCTTTCAGTTGTGCTCCATACAAAACGACTGGTCTTATCAACATTTTATATATTTTGATCTTAGTGTTGCGAGACAGACCTTCTGACTTTAGCAGATGTTGAAGAGCATAGTATACTTTATTTCTAGATTGTATTTCTTCACTCAGAATGATGAAGCAGTTAAAATTTGCATCCGTTCATTTGATTTTCATATTATGGACTTGTATGTGGCCGGAGTTTAAATCCTTTCCCTGTCTAGTTATTATATTCACCTTGTGAAGTCAGCGGGCACTGGTGTTGTCACAAATGATGAAGTTGACTGACGATGAGCCTGCCTGAATAATTCCAGCAAGTCTTTGCTTCTCATTACAAGCTCTGCCTTCCCAGAATCTCTCAGTTCTGACTCCACCTTTTCAATTGCCAGCTCCCATACACTGACCTCTTGAGTTAGCTGATTTCTTTGACCTTTGCAACAGAAAACAAAAACAACCTATATAAATTGGTTTGTCAACAATTTTTTAAAAGAAAACAAAAAAAACCTACTTAAATTGGTTTGTCAAAAAAATTTTTTTACTGAGAATTATAAGTTTTTTATAAGTATTTATAAGTATTTACAAATATTTAAATTATAAGATTTTCATTATTTCATGCCAAACGAATCTAACAATTTACAACAGTTTATGTAAAACCTAATAATCTAATGAAATCACACCAGCTGGTAATTGTTCTGGCTGCATTTTTACTAGATGACCAAATCATTTTATCTTCTGTTTCTCAATGAATTTGATGCCTGGTGCTGTTCCTACAGTCTGTCTGATGATATCATTTCTTACTTTGTCTCAGATGTTTAAGATGGTGGCTTTTCTCAGGCATCTCAATTCACAAGTGCTAATTTGTTGTAGGTTAGCAGCTGAGAATGTCCAAGTCTGGCACTGGTAGCACAGTGTTGGTATGAATATGCTATTTATAATCTGTTTATGAGCGCTCATACTTGTGTTTAGATGTCTTAATAACGGTGTTAGTTGGTATATAAATGCAATGGCTCACTGGCATCTTACTTCTATTTCCCGATCTCTTCTCCCAAACTCCAAGAATAAACTTCCAAGATATTTAAATTCTTTAACTTGTTTCAGACAAGTACCATTCAACAAAATATGTAACGGACTAGGGGAATTCTAATCTATACTACAAATACATATAAAATTTAAATCGGAAAATAAGTACTTACCAATAAGAGTTAAAAGTTTGCTCTTTAGCTGGGCCTCAAGTCTTGCTATCATTAATTCGACTGCATTCCGAATTTCTCTCACACGCTCATCTTTAGCATTTTTTACACTCTCAATATTACGTTCCTGCAATCAAATAGATATTTTTTTTTAAATTTAAGAAATGTGTTTTTCCTGTGAACTTGACTGACTACTGGTCGAGGAACACAGGATGCTGGACATAAACTTGCACACACGACTGACTACTGGTCGAGGAACACAGGATGCTGGACATAAACTTGCACACATGACTGACTACTGGTCGAGGAACACAGGATGCTGGACATAAACTTGCACACATGACTGACTACTGGTCGAGGAACACAGGATGCTGGACATGCACACATGACTGACTACTGGTCGAGGAACACAGGATGCTGGACATAAACATACAAACAGTACATAAACATACAAACAGTACATAAATATACAAACAGTACATAAACATACAAACAGTTCAAAAACATACAAACAGTACATAAACATACAAACAGTACATAGAGATACAAACAGTACATAAACATACAAACAGTACATAAACAGAGACACTGCCAATACTGCCTGTATTGTCCACTGGTCAAGTGTTAGTTAGCTGTGTATCCTGTACAGAATGTTTCACAACTAACACCAGCATGTTTTAGCTGTTTTGGCTTTTCTAGGATCATTTTATGTTTACTGCATTGCTTCTGAACGGTCAGCTCTTGGTATCACTGTCAAAACTAATGCAAGACAAATTTGTATTTTTGTTGTCAGGAAATTTACTTATCTAGGCAGCACCCTTTCACAGAGAGCCACATCTGATGACGAAGTAAATGCAAGGATCTCTAGGGCTAGCGTTGCCTTTGGCAGATTGTACACAAATGTTTGGAACAGAAGTGGCATAACCCTGCAGTTAAAGCTTAAAGTATACAAAGCGGCTGTAATAACTACACTGCTGTTCGCATGTGAAACATGGACTTTATACCAGCCCCAGGCTGGTAAACCACTTTCACACAGTCTGCCTTAGAAAACTAATGCAGATCAGATTTCAAGATAAAGTACCTGATACCGTAGTCCTCGAGAAAGTAGCTATGCCCAGCATCCACACTCTACTGATGCAGTATCAAATTCGTTGGGCTGGTCATGTGGCACGCATGTCAGATCACAGGCTCCCCCCAAAAAAACTTCAATGGTAAGCTGCAAAATGGGAAACGTTCCCAAGGCGGGCAAAAGAAATGCTTTAAGGACACCTTGAAGTCTTCACTCAAAGCATCTGTGATGTATGACACCAATTGGGAGGCTGCCTCTCAAGACTGAAATGCATGGCGTGCAGCTCTACACAAGGGCGCGGCTACATGTGAAGCAAACAGAACAGCAAGCCTGATTAAAAAAAGGATGGACAGAAAGGCGACTGCAGGAGATCCCCTAACTGGCACAACACTCATTCATTCCTTGTCCTCATTGTCCTAGAACTGTTCAGGCCCGCATCAGCCTCATCAGTCATCTTTGTACTCATACTTGATGAAACAGAGTGGTCATCGTCATCTTGATGGACAACATTTGTTGATTGGTAAAGTCCCAGCATTCCATAAAGTTGGATGAAGATCCTCTGGGAAACCCCAGGTGGTAATTGTTGTTTATCCTAACCAATTCTCATTAACTCTCTCACAATGACAGATTCATGTGACTATCATTTTTGTTTCTTCATATCTATTTAGTTTGAGGACTGTATTTCAAAAGTACTAAATAACTGATATTGACTGGATGTAAATAAACATCTATGACTGATTTACATTTGCAATTTTAAACAAAACAAGGTCCTTTTTCCACACCTTAAGGCACATAGGGCATATAGGGCTAGACCAATCAGCACAAGATGGCAGATATGGTCAGCATCACGCCGGCCACCTTTACTTGCCGGGACTGCCTCAAGGCTGGGTCGACCTGGGAGTCATTTGTTGATTGGTAAAGTCCCAGCATTCCATAAAGTTGGATGAAGATCCTCTGGGAAACCCTAGGTGGTAATTGTTGTTTATCCTAACCAATTCTCATTAACTCTCTCACAATGACAGATTCATGTGACTATCATTTTTGTTTCTTCATATCTATTTAGTTTGAGGACTGTATTTCAAAAGTACTAAATAACTGATATTGACTGGATGTAAATAAACATCTATGACTGATTTACATTTGCAATTTTAAACAAAACAAGGTCCTTTTTCCACACCTTAAGGCACATAGGGCATATAGGGCTAGACCAATCAGCACAAGATGGCAGATATGGTCAGCATCACGCCGGCCACCTTTACTTGCCGGGACTGCCTCAAGGCTGGGTCGACCTGGGAGTCAGGGTCATGTTTAATAAAAAGTCTAGCTCCGCCAGGGAGCGAACTCACGACCTTCCGATCCGCATGTCAGCATCCAGCTGCTAGGCCACGAGGACTACCACGGTGAAATATATGAGGTAATAAATTGTGCTGAATGTTGAATAAAGAATAACATCACAGCACTCGGGACACACCAGAAGCACCTCATCTCCATCTTCAAGAGCAAGCCAAGAGTTAACATTACGATGGTACCATTAACTGTCTGCTTGTATATCAGTTTCACTTTTCCCCCAAGTGTCGAGTGTCGGCCAGATCCCCTTGTAACCCCTCGCAGTGCAATTCTCCTCTGACCGTAATGATCTATCTGTGGCTCGGCACTGTTCACTCGCTCCCGAAGGGCCCTCACAACGTCTAGCTTGTCATACATCAGTTCACCAACAAGTGGTGCAGAATCGACCAGTCTATCTGCCTGCTTTTTTTTCAACACACTGTTATGACCTGGAGAAAATATATAAAGGATGCTAACTACCCGGGACCTCTGAAGTGATACTTGCCTCTCTGCATGAAGCATGCCTGTTTCCACCTTTCTCAGCATGCTCTGTGAGTCAGTTACAATCATGGCATGAGTTTACAGCTGATCACCTTTATTCAAACTCTCATTATTGTGTTCTCTAATATCCATGTCTATCCCATTAGCTATTTCTTGGTTTTCAGGTTGACCTGTTGTTCAGAAGCTATGTTGTCTCCTGCATTGCTTTTTCCAGTAAGAGTTTATGTTGTGTTTAGTACTCAAGTGATAAAGACTTTGGTCTCAATGTTTAGTTTCATTTGTGCACATCTTTTCCATTCCCTAGGTTGAGTTGTCTAGCCAGTTTTTATGTTATCAGCTGGACTGCTGTTTATGCCCCAAAAGAACAGAGACTGATGATGTTCAAGATCTTCTACACTGACATAGAATGACAATAGCCACTGCTACCCATCTATCAATGGATTGCAAACTGCTGCTTATCATGATGCTTAATCCCAAAAGTGGACATTGATGATGATGACACCTTATATCAATTTACATAAATAACTACCTTAAAAAACAATAACAATAAACAATAACAGGTGGGAGTACCCAGCTAAGTACTTACCACATCTTGAACCAGACAGATCAGTTCAATGTGACGGGACTTGAGCTGGCTTAGTTCTGAGGATATCTTAGATTTATGTTCTTCATAAATTCCTTCCAATGGTTTGAATGTGTGCCCTGAGTGCTGTAGACAACATGCATTCTTTCATTACTGAGTCAATGACAAAATATGCTGATATCATGGTGTCCCAAACAATATGCTGATATCTTGGTGTCCCAAATAATATGCTGATATACAATATGCTGATATCCTGGTGTCCCAAACAATACGCTGATATCATGGTGTCCCAAACAATACGCTGATATCTTGGTGTCCCAAACAATACGCTGATATCTTGGTGTCCCAAATAATATGCTGATATCTTGGTGTCCCAAACAATATGCTGATATCTTGGTGTCCCAAACAATACGCTGATATCATGGTGTCCCAAACAATATGCTGATATCATGGTGTCCCAAACAATACGCTGATATCATGGTGTCCCAAACAATACGCTGATATCTTGGTGTCCCAAACAATATGCTGATATCCTGGTGTCCCAAACAATACGCTGATATCTTGGTGTCCCAAACAATACGCTGATATCTTGGTGTCCCAAACAATATGCTGATATCTTGGTGTCCCAAACAATATGCTGATATCCTGGTGTCCCAAACAATACGCTGATATCATGGTGTCCCAAACAATATGCTGATATCTTATTGTCCCAAACAATACACTGATATCTTGGTGTCCCAAACAATACGCTGATATCTTGGTGTCCCAAACAATATGCTGATATCTTGGTGTCCCAAACAATATGCTGATATCCTGGTGTCCCAAACAATACGCTGATATCTTGGTGTCCCAAACAATATGCTGATATCTTGGTGTCCCAAACAATACGCTGATATCTTGGTGTCCCAAACAATACGCTGATATCTTGGTGTCCCAAACAATACGCTGATATCTTGGTGTCCCAAACAATACGCTGATATCTTGGTGTCCCAAACAATACGCTGATATCTTGGTGTCCCAAACAATACGCTGATATCTTGGTGTCCCAAACAATATGCTGATATCTTGGTGTCCCAAACAATATGCTGATATCTTGGTGTCCCAAATAATATGCTGATATCATGGTGTCCCAAACAATATGCTGATATCCTGGTGTCCCAAACAATACACTGATATCTTGGTGTCCCAAACAATATGCTGATATCTTATTGTCCCAAACAATACACTGATATCTTGGTGTCCCAAACAATATGCTGATATCTTGGTGTCCCAAACAATATGCTGATATCCTGGTGTCCCAAACAATCAAATACATGCCAGTGGACAAAGCTGTTTACATTAAAAGCAAATTATTGATTTTAAATAATAATATTTCTGCTGTTACTGACACTGCTATTCTTTTATACAGTGCAAGTATGTCTAAGCTGCTTATGCAATGTTTCATGTCAGATGATTCCACCTTAAAACTGTTGACTTCATATTTTCACACAGCATTTAAATATAACTTTGTGATGTCTTCCATTCGCACTCTTTTTAAGCTCTGTGACATTTGCTATGGTTAAATTATTACAATGTGATTGATCAATGGATTTTTCCCCTTCTGGGCTGCCACTTGAGGGTTTGCCATACCATCGTGAGAGTTTAAACAAATTGTAATCTGGACAGAAGATCAACAATGCAGATTGCAGATACTCTGTTCCACTTCCAAAGAAGTTCTAATTTGGGCACCTATAACAGCTATATCAGTCATGTGTCACCTGCAGTTCCATGCAGGTAAACAAACAAGTTATGACATCATTTAACTGCAAGTCCCTTCTGATTTGTGGGTCCTGTAGAAGCACAATACTGCAATTACAAATTGGCAGGTATGGTGAGTCACTACAAAACTGACTTTCCTAATCTTTGAATTTAATGGTCAGAACTACACATGAGAATACCTTATGGTTAAAACAATCAACTGACAGTTCTGTTGCATCCGAGCCATCAATAGCTTTTAGGACCACAGGTTAATTAATAAAAATGTGCCATCAGAAAACAGTGCATTTTTTTAAATAACTGCAGAGCAGGACGCAGAAAGTATGTTTCTTCTATAAAATCCATTCTCTATATATAAATCTCTATCCATGATTGCAGTTACCCATGGAAATGTCAAATGCATAAGAAACCAAAGATCATCAGAGAGACAAAATGGAAAGATTTACAAGCAGTGAATAACTTGCACAGAATATCACTGAGAAAACTAGGAACATAGCAAATGGACTGAGTCAGTGAGATTCAACTCTACCATGACTAGAGAAAGGGATAAACGCCCGATGACACAAAGTGCCATCATGTGAATGAGGATCACCTTGGGAGAGGTCCCAGAAACTCTGTTCAGCCGTCAGGCTATATTCAGGGCTCCCAGCAAAAGCCAGAGGTTGGGGCTTCAAAATAACTAAAAATTGCATCCCACATGGAGATAATTGATTAAAAATATGAAAAGATTTATCAGTAGTAGTACTTTTACACCAGTGGGACATCACACAAGTGATAAGCACCTGATAGCCATGCTATATTGTGGCCCCTGGAAAGAGCCTGAGTATCGCTTCAAAATAACAAACAATTGCATCCCACAAGGGAATGACTACATACGTATAATTTACTAGACATTTCAATATCAGAATATCCCTATTACTTGAATGTTACATTATGACATTTGTCTCCTAGGAGATGAACATAACTGATGTTATTCTAAGCTTAGTTGCTGACTGTGTACACGGACTTCCTCAATTCAATGCCGTAGATCCTGTCAGCTGTAAATACTACTGTATCCCTAATATCTTAATTGCTTGAAGTTATGCCCCTTGATTGTGATTCCTCTCATGTCTTTTTCAATTGTCAAATTGTTCATTATAAAAGGAAAAATATCTGGATAAATTCTACATTCCTGGTGTTCATCTTCTCTTGATTTTGTGCAATTAAGCTAGTTCATTATCAATTTGTATGGCAGCAATTTCCAATATTTGTTTTTGATAAGTCCCAGGTCCTTCCATTACTTGCTGACATGTTAATTAGGTAGATGATTCTTACTTTGCTGTCAGCCTTTGTTTAGTTAGTGAAGCAAATAAGAACTTTATTTACTGTTATCAAAACCTTCATAATGCTCTCAGCAAATGAATGTTAGATGAACCTTTGTCTTCAACAAGCCTATATTTTTTTTAGCTTTTCTGTTTCTGGCTGTATTGTCTTCCTAACACTTTGCACAATGTTTATTATTAGTACATGTTTTGTGATGTGACTCATTATGATAACTGTCTGATGTTAACCACATTCCCAATCTGCTTTTCTCTTAAAGATTGCAATAAACACAGACAACCATAAGCCTTCAGCATTGTATATCATGTTCGCTGTTAAGGTGATGGTGTATTTTATATTCTTTTAAAGTATGATCATTTTTGTTGTTAAGTTGTCTAGACCTGACATCTTTTGTCAGATTTCATGATTAAAAGAAATCTGAAATTCTGTTGTCAAAATTGGTAGTAGTCTACTGTTACTGGCATCATCAACTTGTCCATTGTGTGAGTTGTACAGTTCTTTCACATCTCTGCTAATGTATGAGAATATGATCCTTGGCAATAATAATTTTGCCTTCCATGTTGCGTGCATGTGTGTTTTGCAGATTGAAAATACAAGCTCTGGGTGTAATTAAATGTTTTGTTACAATTTCTGTTATCTCCTGACCTGTATGTATGAATGTGGCAATGTAATGATAATGGTCCCTTTGACATTCTCATGAACCTGTATGAGTCATTTCACTATCTTAACGACTACATGTGCTTTCATAAAATTCTATTGCTAGCTTAATCTTCAGCAATTGTTGGCTACATGTTTATTCTGGCATCAGTCACAAACAGGACGGTCCTCTTGATTTCTTCATCAGTGTCTTATAGTTTGTCTTGTACGGTCACACCTGTGGGTTCGATTTTCTCACTCTGACTGATAGAGGCTGGGCAATCTTGTAAAAATGGTTCTGGAACTTGGTTTGGTATACCACAACCACATGTGGCAGAAGAGTCAATGACACCCATTTGGTGTGGGTGTGATGTGAGTTTACAGCCTCCTGTCTTAGGCTGAACATTCTGGTTTGCTCATTTCTGTCAAACTTTATATTTGTAGTGCTACCATGTGCTCATTTCTGTCAAACTTTATATATGTAGTGCTATCATGTGCTCATTTCTGTCAAACTTTATATCTGTAGTGCTATCATGTGCTCATTTCTGTCAAACTTTATATCTGTAGTGCTACCATGTGCTCATTTCTGTCAAACTTTATATATGTAGTGCTATCATGTGCTCATTTTTGTCAAACTTTATATCTGTAGTGCTATCATGTGCTCATTTCTATCAAACTGTATATCTGTAGTGCTATCATGTGCTCATTTCTGTCAAGCTTTATATCTGTAGTGCTATCATGTGCTCATTTCTGTCAAACTGTATATTTGTAGTGCTGTCATGTGCTCATTTCTGTCAAACTTTGTAGTGCTATCATGTGCTCATTTCTGTCAAACTTTATATCTGTAGTGCTATCATCTGCTCATTTCTGTCAAACTTTATATCTGTAGTGCTATCATGTGCTCATTTCTGTCAAACTTTATATCTGTAGTGCTATCATGTGCTCATTTCTGTCAAACTTTATATCTGTAGTGCTATCATGTGCTCATTTCTGTCAAACTTTATATCTGTAGTGCTATCATGTGCTCATTTCTGCCAAGTTGATTTATGCTGTCAGAACTGTTAGGTGTTTGTAATCAATGCAACAAGCAAACAAACAAGACATGCAGAGCTCACTGTTCCTCCCCAGAGGGCACACTGATGACAAATGCACTGTTTACAGGTCCAGCAGAAAACACTCAGCTTCTCTTGATGTTCACTGCATCTGTTCAGTGACAGACAGACAAGGTCATAAATCTACAGCAAGCACAAGGATTTTGTGAGAAAATATACTAAAACAGGGGGGAAAACAGAACATTTAACACTTTTAGTCAACATGGTTGAACAATGGAAAAATCTGCATATTAATGTATGCATGAAACAACAAAATGCTAAAGGTTGTCCAACGCTTGTAGTGGAATTGAAAAATGAAGTTGGATACCCTCATGTACTCTAGACTGGTACATAATAAAGTTAGGTAGTCAGTTCCTTGCTAGCTACTTCTGCTACCCAAACAATGTTAAAGATTATCAGGAATCCTTTTAAAGAAGCAGAGCTAACCACAGAACTGTAATGACAATCAAACAAGAATCTTTCTAATGTTTTAGACTAAGCCTGGAATACTGTCCTGGCAAGCAGGCAGTCAATATCAATGAACAATGGAACATGATTTCAGTTTGAACAAACAGCTGTCACAAACTAACTTATAAATTATAAACCTTAAAGGTAAATACTTACATTCTCTTCAATAAATCTTTTAACATTTCTTTAGTAATCATAGTATTTTCACTAATTTAGTTTTAGATCTAAGAATACGCTTGCCTGTTACAAGAACAGTCCAACAGACTCTTAGAAACAACAAAGCAGGAGGCCTACTAAGACAGCAAAGGGAACAGCACCAAGATGGGCAAAGGGAAGAATAAAATTAAATTCCTAATAAATATCCCAATTAAAAACCAATGACAACATCAATGACATCTTAACATGGAAAACAAAACAAGGATCTAATTTGTCAGTTTCAAACTGGGCATGCTAAAATCTTCTCAACCTTTAGAAATCACTTTACACATTCTCTTCCAGTGCCCTACACTCTCATAAAACACACTGGGGGAAAACAAACCATGTACTCCAAATAACAATACACTGGATGTAGTATAAATGCCCGGCCTGAAGCCTAATATAACTGCTTTATGTGGTTGACGAAGGTTTCTGGGATGTGCTTTGGTTTGATTTTCCTTCTTGAAGTGTTAATCATATGGACTGCAATCCTGGATGGCAATAGCAAACACCGCCACCATCAGGGTCAGGCAGTTTTGACAAACAACCTTTACCCCTTTCACCCCAGTAATGCTAAAGAAAATAGGTCATTGGTATTCCATTAAAAAATCTTAAAATAAACAATAAATGTCACACAAGTCACTAATAACTTCTTTCTTTTTTTTAAAATAAGATATATAAAGGAAGTAATCAATAAACACTAACAGGGTAAAGAATTCAATGGAATGCCTTTCCTGGGGCCTGAAAAAACATATATCGGATGACTCATGTTGTTATTCCCATGACTTCTATCTTCCAGGCGCTGGGAAAATATGGTGTCAACTTGGCTTTGAAAAAAGCTGTATGACTTAAAGGAAAATCCCTTTAAATGCTATTTCCAGTTAATGTAGTGATACCATGACTTCCTAAACATCTGTGCAGGCACAAAAACAGCTAAAGCATAAACTATGCACCTTGTAAACAGGTCATTAGAGGCAAGTCAGAAAAGTGACAGTAACAGGAATTGGACCCTTTCAGAGGTGTCATTTTTGTGGTCACTCAGAACAAAAGGATTAAACTCACGCCTCAGAGCAATCCTCTTGACATACACTAGCTACTGTGCACAAAAATGGTACAATGATAGTTTCAATTTTGTAAGATGCGTTTGGGAAAGTGAAATTCCAATTATTTGTAAGTGGAGAAAGCACATCATCTTATCTAGATGATGACATTTATAAAAGTAAAAAAATTTTAATAAACAAAAACTTGACAAAAACAAAAACATATGACATGATAATATTTATTAGCAAAATGGGACACTGAAAAACAGAACACAATGTGATTTATTGACACAGTCTCAGGTAAAGTTGTATCTAGAGCAGAAACTTTTACTCACATTTCCTTCCAGCTACTGGAGTCTCTATCTCCTCTGGCCAGTGGTGTAGAATGCTGAAGAGTGTCTAGCTGCTGTGTGACTTCCTCGGCCCAACGACAGTTCACCAGTTCATGAATATGCAAGGAGGCTCTAAATTTCACATCAATATTTTACAGCACATTTAATAGGAAGTCAAGTCCATTCAAAAACAATAACAATAAATGCTGAACATTGCAATATTTTAGTCATCTTCCTATCCTGGGTGTTTCAAATCCCCACTGAGACATATTCTTTCTAATGACCTGAGTCAGCAGGTCAAACAAAGCTTATCAGGACATCTTCTGCTAGTCTCAAGTTGTGGAAAAGGGTAATTTCCCCCCTAACTCACAAAAGAGGACAAAGACAAAAGTGAATACCAGCTTCCCAGTGTAGGTTCCGGGCCCTGTTATAGGGAAAACAACAACAGACCCACTGCCTACCCAACAAGCATGTCGTAAGAGTCGACTAATTGGGAGCTTGCTTCTAAGTCAGAGTGCATTTGCCTGAGAGGCAAGGAACCAGCAATCTGCATACAAATTAGTCTGATCTGTCAAACGGATGCATATGCAAAACTCAGGTTCTCGAACAGGATTGCAGTCCAGATGTGGGCGAACAACCAGAACTTTCCGCCGGAGTTTACAGCTGGTGAACGTGAACAAAAAGAAGAAGAATACCAGCTGATGGTTATAATATATAATATAAGAATCCACATCACGCAGATGACACAGTGCTGATTGATGGTTGACAACAGACAGGAACTGTTGAACACTGTAGTGACAGAGAGTTTCAAAAATCTATTCTGAATATCAAGAAAATAAAACATGAAAGAGAGTTTGAAAAACCTATTCTAAATATCAAGAAAATAAAACATGAAAGATAGTTTTAAAAACCTATTCTGAATATCAAGAAAATAAAACAACTATTGTATCACAGAAAAAAGACACTAATCACTCAAATATGCTTCTACAATGATCAGTTACACAAATTCAATATTAAAGGACCACCATAACATCAGATGGTAAATGTATTGCAGATTAAGAGACGGAAAAGCTAATAGAAAATGAAAAGTATTGAGTGTTACAAGTCATTTTCAGTGAATGTCAGAAAGACAGAAATGACATTTGTTCTCAAACGTATTCTGCTCCAAGTGAGCATCAGCAAATTATGAAGAGCCTGGAAGCAGCTGAGAATGTAGTTCCTGAGGTGACTGTTGTGAATACCTTGGACAGTCACAGTAGCTAACAAGGACTGAGAAAGTAGTTCCTGAGGTGACTGTTGTGAATAACTTGGACAGTCACAGTAGCTAACAAGGACTGAGAAAGTAGTTCCTGAGGTGACTGTTGTGAATAACTTGGACAGTCACAGTAGCTAACAAGGACTGAGAAAGTAGTTCCTGAGGTGACTGTTGTGAATAACTTGGACAGTCACAGTAGCTAACAAGGACTGAGAAAGTAGTTCCTGAGGTGACTGTTGTGAATAACTTGGACAGTCACAGTAGCTAACAAGGACTGAGAAAGTAGTTCCTGAGGTGACTGTTGTGAATAACTTGGACAGTCACAGTAGCTAACAAGGACTGAGAAAGTAGTTCCTGAGGTGACTGTTGTGAATAACTTGGACAGTCACAGTAGCTAACAAGGACTGAGAAAGTAGTTCCTGAGGTGACTGTTGTGAATACCTTGGATAGCCACAGTAGCTAACAAAGATTATCTGGAAAGCTACAACAAGCAGAATAGTAAATGCAATGAAAACAAAGAGACATTTTTTCATATGTTGACAAGAAAGGTTGCTGAGAACAAGGTGATAATTGGAAGACCAGCAGCAGACAGACACACAGAGAAATGATGCTGGCTGCTCTCAGAGGAATATCATCAATAGGACTGATCCAGAACACAAAGGACCCAGGTTTGGGGAGAGATAAGAATACCTCAACCATCTAACTAGGCACAAGATGATGATGATGGCATCAGTGCTGTCATCCATATCTTCATCACAGGCAATTAACATCTTTTAAAGTTTCCCATTTTGCTGTTTAAGTTAACTTTTTAAACTTGGATTTTGACTGAATATGCACATATTACATGTGTCAATGGAAAACACACACAGTGTGAAATAAATGTTATGACAGTATCGTAGAGTTGATTCAACTGACAATATTTTCAAAGAGGTGTATGGCCAAAGACAAAGTTGTCAACATGTCTTTTCTGCTTGATTTATGGTGGGGAGAGGGTGGGGGAGAGGGTGGGGGAAAGGGTGGAGGAAAGGGTGGGGGAGATGGTGGGGAGAGGGTGGGGGAGATAGAGAGGGTGGGGGAGCGGGTGGGGAGAGGGTGGGCGAGATGGTGGGGAAGAGAGGTGGTGGGGAGAGAGATGGTGGGGGAGATGGTGGGGAAGAGAGATGGTGGAGAGAGATGGTGGGGAGAGGTGGGGGAGAGGGTGGGGGAGAGGGTGGGGGAGATGGTGGGGGAGCAGGCGGGGAGAGGGTGGGGAGATGGTGTTGGAGAGGGTGGGGGAGAAGGTGAGGAAGATGGTGGGGAGAGGGTGGGGAGAGGGTGGGGGAGAGGATGGGGGAGAGAGATGGTGGGGGAGAGGGTGGAGGAGAGGGTGGGGGAGATGGTGGGGGAGATGGTGGGGGAGAGGGTGTTGGAGAGGGTGGGGGAGAAGGTGAGGAAGAAGGTGAGGAAGATGGTGGGGGAGATGGTGAACTATGACAAAATTGCAGAAACTTCTGTACTTAATAACTTTATGTAATACAATAATAATAAACAATGTTAATGCTACATACGGATGTGAATCGGGGACTATCTCTCAGTCCTTAAGAAAGAGAATAGGGGTTTTTGAGTTGAAATGCTATAGAAAGATTCTCATAATATCTTGGACAAAGAAGAGGAGAATTACTGACATCTTGAAAGATCTAAACATCAAAGAAGATTGGCTAATAAACAGCATCCGGTCTCGGAAGCTGAAATATTTTAGTCATATCAAGCGCCACAACGAATCGAAAAAAAATTATAGCAGAAGGCATGGTACCAGGAAGGAGGGGCAGGGGCCGATCGACACGAAGATGGGCACAGGATATAAGTGACTTCTTGAGTATGAAAGTAAATGAGGCAGGAGAACTGGCGAGAGACCGAGTTTCTTTCAGGCAGACTGTAATGAGAGTGACGTTCTGCAAAGGACCTGCTACATGATGATGATGAATGCTGATGATTGTGTTATTAATAAACAGCAACGAGAAGCTGCAGGCCCTAGTGGCTTAAGTAAATGGCACGGTGCCGAATATGGGTTAAACGTCATATTAACACAAGAAGATACACAGTAGTTGTTTTTAACCAGCAATTCATACTTTCCAGACAATCTCTCTTACCTGCAGTGAGGACACTGCGATCTTTGCTCTGTTAGCCATCTCTGTCAGATTACACAAATAGCAAAAGGATTATCTCACATTGGGAAAATAAAACAATGAACACATGCAGACATAATACTCACAAAAGTTTATGTCAACACAAAAGTAAAATAAATATTTCTATACATTAAATTTTACACTTAAAAATGCTTTCACAATGCCCCTGGTCATAATTAATATAACTGTTTACATAAATCACCTGCGCCCGGAACTCTGTATTCAGAAATATATGGTTCAGTCTGTATGGCTGCCCTGGTAAAAACAGGGAGTCATGTTTGATCGTTGTTGAAATTGTACTTCAGTTATAAAGGATTCACTTATTTGCTTTATTTATGTAATTGTTACTGTAGTATGCACCTGATGAGATACAGCGAAATATGCCGGGCAATAAATTGTGCAATCTATTGTTTGTGTCTTCTTTGTTCAAGTTTACATAATCAGTCTGAAGACCAGCCCTGAAGTTGTGTGATCATTAAACTCCAGCCCATGTGTGATTTGATCTCCTGATCATGCATTGATTCTCTTTCCTGGTATTATGTCCTCCGGTAATTGAATGAGCAGATCTACAAGTCCCATACTGTGAAAAACTAAGAAGACTACAACAAATGTTGTTAACAACCTTCTGTCTGCCCTAAGGCATATGGCACGAGTTACAGGCTGGTGACAGATAAATCTTCCCTAAACACACCAAACACGGACACACAACAACCTTCTGTCTGCCCTAAGGCATATGGCACGAGTTACAGGCTGGTGACAGATAAATCTTCCCTAAACACACCAAACACGAACACACAACAACCTTCTGTCTGCCCTAAGGCATATGGCTCGAGTTACAGGCTGGTGACAGATAAATCTTCCCTAAACACACCAAACACAAACACTTCTAGAGCACACACAATAATCTTTAATGTACAAAGATCATCAAACACCTGGCAGTTTGCCCAAAGAGGGTGTAGGTGCCCCCATCCAAAACACAGGCCGTGATGGCTTTACAAATCTCAATCAGGCCTTTCCTTCTCCGTGAATAAACACCAGGCACAAACCCACACTTCTCCCGACAGGCTCTTACTAATGTCGCTGGCCTCGACACGAGGATCGTGAGGTACGTACAGAGTGAGTGGCTGAATGTGTGAGTGCAGAAAATATCACCACAACCAATACCCAACAACCTTAGATGGCTAATCTGAAGTTTTCTTATTCAACAAACCTAACCATCTAACAATGCTACAAGAGCTTTACTTTGTCAAACATCCTACAACACAATTACAAACGCAATCTAACCAAAACACATCTCTATCAGTCACTATGACGGTCCATACGTTTCAACTGTCCAGTACTAGATGTCACAATGTCCTAGAATCTTCTTATATGTGCAAGCATTTTGTTCTACCTTCACCTACCCAACTTGGGGTTACCCCAAGAATTCTCCCAAACATCTGTCTGTCTGGCCTCCCAACTTCGGGTTACCCCAAGAATTCTCCCAAACATCTGTCTGTCTGGCCTCCCAACTTGGGGTTACCCCAAGAATTCTCCCAAACATCTGTCTGTCTGGCCTCCCAACTTGGGGTTACCCCAAGAATTCTCCCAAACATCTGTCTGTCTGGCCTCCCAACTTCGGGTTACCCCAAGAATTCTCCCAAGTATCTGTCTGTTTGGCCTCCCAACTTCGGGTTACCCCAAGGATTCTCCCAAGCATGGCTCTGTCTGGCCTCCCAACTTCGGGTTACCCCAAGAATTCTCCCAAGCATCTGTCTGTCTGGACTCCCAACCTTGGGTTTCCGTAAGAATTCTTCCAAGCATCTGTCTGTCTGGCCTCCCAAATTCCGGTTAACCCAAGAATTCTCCTAAACATCTGTCTGTCTGGCCTTCCAACTTCGGGTTACCCCAAGAATTCTCCCAAACATCTGTCTGTCTGGCCTCGCAACTTGGGGTTACCTCAAGAATTCTCCTAAGCATCTGTCTGTCTGGCCTCCCAACCTGGGGTTACCCCAAGAATTCTCCCAAGCAACTGTCTGTCTGGCCTCCCAACTTGGGGTTACCCCAAGAATTCTCCTAAGCATCTGTCTGTCTGGCCTCCCAACAGTTGATGTACAGGTCATTTAGTACAGACATAAAGAGTTATCACTATCATATTCCTTATCCCATACTTGCTCTGACCTCAGACAATTATTATTGTGTTGCACACTCCCAAAGGAGATGACATCAGAAATGCTTGTTTCTCCCAGAATGTGTCTTGTGAACTGCAAAACTACTTCTTACTTAGCTTCAAGGTGAAGCATGCTCTGTTATGATTTGGCTAAAAAAAAGGGACATTTCTGCACTTCAACAATTCTGCACTTCAACAATTCTGCACTTCAACAATTCTGCACTTCAACAATTCTGCACTTCAACAATTCTGCACTTCAACAATTCTGCACTTCAACAATTCTGCACTTCAACAATTCTGCACTTCAACAATTCTGCACTTCAACAATTCAGCACTTCAACATTTCTGCACTTGAACAATTCTGCACATCATGCCTTTAATGTTATTATTACAAGGGCTTGTTTGGTAATATCAACCTTTCATTTGACTCAGATGGATCTTCCTATCAAATACTATGGCTGCAGGGATTTTCTTTATAATAATAATAATGATTATTTCATGGCTTGGTCATCTACAAACTTGATGGGGCATTGCTCACCACTGACTTTATTCCCCAATGCCAGCTGGCATTAATTGCTTCAAATGGTGCTCCCTGAAAATAGGCTGTTTCCACAAATAAAAGATAGCAGGGCAGAGCATCTTTCTAAGGTTGTACAAGATAATAAAATGAGGTGAGGTGGGATGAGGTGATTATTCTTCACTCGACAGACGATGAGCCGAATCTTGCTGCTGTCAATGCAAAGGTCAACGCTCTCATCAGTAAAAATGCTGAAAAGGCAGAGGTACTGATCTACACAGACGGATCCATTATACGCCAACAAAGAAGGGCATGGGCGTTCATAGCACGTTCAGTGGGCAGAACAGTCACAGAAGCCAACGGCACTTTCTCTATGACAACCAGCAGCATGACGATGGAGGTGATGGCCGTAACGCAAGCATTCACATGGCTTGAAATTCAAAACTACACCCACACATGTGTACTCAGTGATTCCATGAGTGTTATCTGGAGGTTTCAGGCAGGTTTGGTGCAAAGACAATGGCTTGAATCATTACAAAAGTCCACTGTGCGTGGAGTCACCGTTATTTTCGCTTCAGGACAGCAGGTGTCGATGGAAATGAAAGAGCTGACAGGCTGACTGGATCCATTATCTTTACCAAAGGTCAACCTAAGGATCATGCTGTTACAATAAATGACTTCCGAGAAATGAGAAGGGTGAAGAAATTTGGGGGCAGTGAATCCCCATCACTCACCAAAATGACAGACTTGGGAGTTAAGATCAGCATAGCAAAAAACACCTGGCATATCAAAGAACTTGTTAATCAACACAGAACTAGTACTATTAGCCACCAGACGCTGGAGTTCATACTGAGAGGAGAATCTGAGCATCTATGAACATATCCGAAGCACAATGATGATAACTCAACTAACACATGCAGTGTGTATAAATATTGGGTGAGCACCATATGACCATCAATAAGTCTCAATACATGGGAGCTGGTCTGTTGCTGACCAATATGCAGCAGTGAACATCACACACACACACACACACACACGCACACACACACACACACACAACAAACAGATTCCCACAACAACAATCCACATGTGTTGTTTATAGCTGCGTCACCTTTGACCTTTGAAGAAAAAACTGCATAAGGTAGACACAGACAATACACTGCAAAATGTACTGCCTGCCAAATTTTGCTGACCTTGTCAGGTGGCATCATGACAGAGTTTCATCAACATATAATCAAGCACACACAAACATCAATCTTTTCCAGGTGGCATCATGACAGAGTTTCATCAACATATAATCAAGCACACACAAACATCAATCTTTCCCAGGTGGCATCATGACAGAGTTTCATCAACATATAATCAAGCACACACAAACATCAATCTTTTCCAGGTGGTATCATGACAGAGTTTCATCAACATAAAATCAAGCACACACAAACATCAATCTTTTCCACTGAAACAACACAAACCACATTGTCTTTACTAGTTACAATGCACAGCTCACCAACTGAAATGCAAGAAAGCCATGAGATTACCACAGAAGTTCAAGTGTTACCACATTCTTTTGTGAGCACAATGTATTCTGTAAACATTGTCCTGGGTTCTTTGGTTAAGCAGCCTAAAATGAGTACCAGGAAATGTTCCAGAAAGTCAAGATTACCAGCTTAGCATATCACTTAGTGCATCTCAATGTGTCAAAGATTTTTATTTGTATTTAATATTTAAACAATGATAGGGCATGTGATTATTTCAACAATACATACCCTTATACAGGGGAAACAGCACAGCTTTGAACAATGAGGACACAGCCGTGCATCACGCAACTTCTCCATACAGATGAAACATCGGAAAACTTCAGCTAAACTCTGCAATTCAAAAGCAAACATTTTATTTTTAAATATGTTTTTGTATATCAGACTCAATTATTCTTGTAAAATCTTTTTAAAATTACCGTTACTATTCTCTAGAATCGCAAGGAATTATAATTTTTCGATCTGTGATTTTTCAAGCAATATGTTGATAAAGGTGTGTTCCTCAAAGTAAGACCATTAAATCTTTTGCTTATAAATTGTGTATTTTTGGTGCTGTATTGTTTTTTAATACCTCTAACATTTTTTTCAAGCTGTAATATTTCTGGCCATATTGCATTCAACTGTCAAAGGATTCTGTAAATGTTTTTTTTTTTTTGGGTATGGCCCCTTTTGCTGAAATATTTTTCTGTTACTGTTAATGTCTTCAGACATTCACTTCCTGTGAACTACCATCTTGAAGTATAGTGTATTTGTGTCTGCATCCTGTCTGACAGTTCTTCAATCCTTCCCGCCAATCATAAAATATTGAAATATAATTTTAGGATTTACCAAGTCTATTATTTATTTCTATACAGAATCTGTTTTGTATCTCGTTCTCATTAGTTAGTGCACAGAGATCTTATTTAAGTCTTTATTTTTATATTCAACCTTCTTTAATCTGTGTCTGTTCCTGCATGGCTGTGTCTGTTCCTGTATGGCTGTGTCTGTTCCTGCATGGCTGTGTCTGTTCCTGTATGGCTGTGTCTGTTCCTGCATGGCTGTGTCTGTTCCTGCATGGCTGTGTCTGTTCCTGCATGGCTGTGTCTGTTCCTGCATGGCTGTGTCTGTTCCTGTATGGTTGTATGTACTTCAATAACTAATCTAGGACATCGATGCCAAGTATCCTTGAATATATTATGATCTTTGGATATTTCAAAAGGATGCTTCTGTGACTTCTTTCCTGATAAGTGGATAATTTTATCATTATTATTTTACTAACTGATGTCCTTGTTAATTTAGATTCACACATTCTCAACAGGCTCGGTATTTTATTTTCTGGTTGTTATTTTATAATTGATCATCTGTGCTCATGGTGCAAATATCTGGTGTCCATACTTTCAGCATTCAATGTCTTCTGCACTCAGTCACAAACCCATGGTTAGATATGTTCAGTTTGCACTTGTCATTGTTCACATCAACTCTTATTCTTCCATTCCTTCTGCCTTCAACCAAAGATGTCATTGCTCTGTGCACGGTGTCAGCATGGCTGCGATATTTGCGCCTTTCGACCGACACATCTGACTTCTGGAGACATTTGTTGACCAGGTTAGCCTTTCTGGAACTCTTATTTAAGTCATGTACTTTATTCTGAAAATACTGAATGAATTTACCTCAATTTGATCATATCTGTTAAAGTATGCCCTGAAAGTATGTAGAAATACTCAAAAAGAACAAGTACTAGAAAATAAGAATTAATTAGCAATTGTTGCTGCAATACTTTCACACACTGTGAAATGCCAAGGCTGATATTACCTGAGTTATAACAATTTCACTGCCACTTTTCATCTTCTCTTTCAAAGTGTCCAGGTTTGAAACTAAAATCTCCTCAAGAGAAAGCACTCTCACTTCACTACAATCCAAGAACACATCATAGTCAAAGTGTTTGTTCAGCGGCTCATGTAGACATCCTGAACACTGACTAGGTTCCATTCTACTGGAGGCAGCAAGATGGTTATTGGTCAACACTAAAGGACAAAAAGATCCAGACTCCACTGTTGTGGAGATACTGTAATCAGCATCACACGATAGAGAAGTGGATGTAGATTCTCTGGTCTCGTTGTGTGAAATTGTGTGCTGTTGATTTGTTGAAATTTTATACACAGAATCAGATCCACTTTCATGTTCTTTTATGTACGCAGAATGCGAGCAGAATTTATGTTCCTTTCTCACTGAGGCACTTGTATGTCTAACTGATGACTGAACACACACTGATGCGTTCAAATAGCCACTGGTGGGTGTCACTGACTGGCTGCTGGTACCTTGCCTGGGTGTTGCAACTGCTGAAGTTAGACTAGGGCTCACATGACCACTGCTTGTGGATGCCTGATGCTGACGAATGTCTGATTTATAAGAGCTGTTGTTAACAGGAACTAACTTTAGATTGGTGCATGTTTTTTCACTCATTAATGACAAATTATTCTTGTGCTGAAGTGACAGAGGTGATGTTGAAATTGCACAAAATGAATGTGAACTTCTGAAGCTAGCAGACGGTGAACTACTAAGTTTTGCTGTAAATGATGTATCAGTGAAACTCAAAGGCCGGCGACGACCTGATGGCACATTGAAACATTCACCTTTGGATTTGCCAGTACAGACTTGACCTGCATTGTTAGCTTTCAGGGCACAACCACCTGTAGTCATGTGACATGCTGATGATCTAGACATGTGTCTAGTGTTGTCAAGTGCAACACCAGAACTTGTCTGGTCTGGACACTTGAAACTGACAGATTCTGATGGAAACACTGGAACCTTTCCTTGACAGCTCTCATGAAAACTAACTGAATGAAAACCACTGCGAGAATGATCTATAGATGATGATCTCACTGGTCCATGGGAATGTAAACTGCCCACCAGATCCTGGGACAACATGGGGGAAACCAACAACCCTGATGGCCTCTTTGTAGTTTCATGAATCTGATCAGCTCTGGATGTGTTCAAAACAGAGTCACAGTTGTTCTGGGAAATCACTGCACAAACTGTGGATGCCTGTTTTTCTTCTCTGAAACTATCAACATTATAGGTATCACTTAGGAAACCAGAATCACTGGACTGAATTAAAGTTTTGACACTGTCTCTCTCATTCTTCATAAATGAACATGGTTGTGAAATGCTGCTGACACCACGACTGGTAGAACAGTCTCCATAACTAGCTCTGAACATGCTGCATGCTACAACTGATGACATGTCAGACACTGATCGTCTCATAGATGTCCCTAAACACTTGCTGTCCATGAGGCTAGCACCACCAATAGAAGTCATGTCAACTACCTGACTCATTAGGCAACTACGGGATTTCTCATCCAGGCTGCACACTGATAATGGCCGCTTTTTTTTGCCCTTCTGTCTCATTGTCCGCCTGTACATAATGATGACTTTGCTGAGTCAAACTGGTATCAATCTCTTATTTGTAAGGTTAATTTTGTTTCTTAACAAAGAATTAACACTGCATTTGGTCTAAAAAGTTACAATGGTTCTGTTATGATTCCTGTCTGGATATAAACATTCCATAACACACAGATCACCTTACATCTTTAGAACAACATCCTAATGGCAAAATGTGGAAGGGGGGGGGGGGGAAACCTAAATATACTTTAAGGTATCTTACATCATTAGTGTTCAATGTTCAGCTAACAGACCTGAATAACTCATGAGGTCAAAGCAGAAAAGCTATCAGTGGGAAATGTATCTCTATCAATACTGATCTTTGCACTTTCCTTTTTCTTCTTCTTCTTCTTCTTCTTCTTCTTCAGCTGCTGCTACTTCTTTTTCCTCTGCTTCTTCATTTCTCCGGCCCTTGTTCTGCATAACCTTGTTTAAAAATTAACATGCTTTATACACAAAATTGTAGTACAGCTGCATGCAGAAGTGTGCTTAATTAATGACCACTTCTACAATGCTAATTGATGACATACATCTGACCACTTCTACAATGCTAATTGATGACCATACTTTTGACCACTTCAACAATGCTAATTGATGACCATACGTCTGACCACTTCTACAATGCTAATTGATGACCATACGTTTTACCACTTCTACAATGCTAATTGATGACCATACGTCTGACCACTTCTACAATGCTAATTGATGACCATACATTTGACCACTTCTACAATGCTACTTGATGACCATATGTCTGACCACTTCTAAAATGCTAAATGATGACCATACTTCTGACCACTTCTACAATGCTAATTGATGACCATACGTTTGACCACTTCAACAATGCTAATTGATGACCATACGTTTGACCACTTCTGCAATGCTAATTGATGACCATACGTTTGACCACTTCTGCAATGCTAATTGATGACCATACGTTTGACCACTTCTACAATGCTAATTGATGACCATACGTTTGACCACTTCTACAATGCTAATTGATGACCATACGTTTGACCACTTCTGCAATGCTAATTGATGACCATACGTTTGACCACTTCTGCAATGCTAATTGATGACCATACGTTTGACCACTTCTACAATGCTAATTGATGACCATACGTTTGACCACTTCAGAATGCGTTTTTACCCTAATTTAATTTTTTTGTTTATATATTTTAAGTTATAGAGGAAAACATGCTCCTTGGCAGTAACCTAAATCTAGGTCGACCAGAACAAAGCTTTTTAATGACCCTGGACTGCAGTTGATATCAAACACTCAGAGTGCAGGTCAGATGGCAAGTATTGACACTGGTCTGCTGGAGGTGTCAGCAGACAAAACCTGGCAGGATGAATTCAAATTGCCCAACAAAAATTCCAAATTTGATCCTTTTTCAGCCGCCGGGAGGCCTGCTATATGGCAGGTTGAAGATGGGGAGAAAAGTGTGACTTTGCTTATGAGCTCTGGCCAGCTGGATAGACCTTGGGAATGTAACCCATTGTTGGCAAACATGTGTTTCTGTCTTCTGGACCAACAGGCATTCAGTGATAGGACTGTCCCCCAAGACAGTTTTGGCAGCACTTGAATGAAAGTGGTTTCAGGAGTAATGTAGGAGGAGCTTGGGAGAGATTATAAAAGTGGGGAACAGTAGGTTTGGATATGCTCACGATAAGCAGCTTGTCTTGTCTCGCCGCACGCTAACTATCCACTCGTTACCCAATTCTTGATAGCTAGATACTTGACACCGATTCACCTGACATTCGGCTGAGTCAGTCTTGGCTGGCTATCCTGGTTGGCACTACGTTTGGGTCTTTAGCAGCCCGCTTATATACCATCACCCTAAGCGTTAAGTATTGAATACTGTTTGGAAAGCACACTTGGAATCCTTTTCAGGATTCTCAACAAGTCTTGC